CCCAAAATTGAATTTGCAGAATATGACCACAAAACATACCCCAGGAAAGCGCCAAATGGATTAAACAGTTAAATATAAAGTAGAATGAAATCATGGAATAACTAGCAGAAAGTAAATCTGAGTAGTTTTCAAATTTCTAGGGGGGCAACATTGTAAGTGATGAAGTAAAATTAAAAAATCAATTCATTTAGTCATAAAACTTTTAAACTTACAAAGAGTGAAAAAGATGAAAATACCATGTAAAATTTATATATAAAAATAATAAAGTTTTGACTCCATATTAAAGTCTTGCAAATTGATTAGAATAAAAATAGGACCTTAATGGCTAAGTTTTAAAAAATCACGAGCAGTTTATAAGTAGTATATGCAATTTAAAAATTGCATTGAAAATATTTCATCTGATTAAATTCTTTGTTGTTGATGTATGGTTGATTTACAATGTTGTGTTAATTTCAGGTGCACAGCAAATTGACTCAGTTACACACACGTGTATGCTCACACACACGCATTTTTTTCAAATTCATTTCCTTTACAGGTTAGTACAATATATTGAGTACAGTTCTCTCAGTGTAGTCTTGATTGTAGAAAAAACTTAAAATGTCCATCAATACAGAATATACACTCATACAATGGAGTACTATAAAAAGTTTAAATAGATGAACTAGATGTACTAGGATCAACATGGTTTAATCTCAAAAACAAAATACTGAACAGAAAAACCAGATTATTTATATAGCATTTAAAAGCTGCCTAAAGCAACACGATATATCTATTTCTTAAGGATCCCTGCATTTGTAGTATAAACATATAAAATGGATAGGAAAGATACTCTGGTTAACCTCTGACGAGGAAAAGAGGGCAAGATAATCAAGGCAAGGAGACTTTATTTGAATGTCATATTTAATTCTCCCCACTACCTGCCTCCTGAGAAACCTGTATGCAGGTCAAGAAGCAACAGTTAGAACCAGATACAGAACACCAGACTAGTTCAAAATTGGGAAAGGACTACTTCAAGGCTGTATATTGTCACCCTGCTTATTTAACTTACATGCAGAGGACATTATGTGAAATGCTGGGCTGGATGAATCACAGGCTGGAATCAAGACTGCCGGGAGAGATACCAATAACCTCAGATATGCAGATAACTAGATGCTAAAGAATCAGACTGCAATGCAGGAGACTTTGGTTAGATTCTTGGGTCAGGAAGATCCCCTGGAGAAGAGACAGGCTACCCACTCCAGTATTCGCAGGCTTCACTGGCTCAGTCGGTAAAAAACCCACCTGCAACGTGGCAGACCTGGGTTCGATCCCTGGGTTGGGAAGATTCCTTGGAGGGCTTGGCAAACCAATTCATTATTCTTGCTTGGAGAATACGCATGGACAGAGGAGCTTGGCAGGCTACAGTCCACAGGGTCACAGAGAGTTGGACGCGGCTGAGAGGCTAAACATAGCACAGCACATGCAGATGACACTACCCTAATGAGCCCCAAGAAAAAGAAATACAAAAAGGCAAAATGGTTGTCTGAGGAGACCTTACAAATAGCTGAGAAAAAAGAAAAGCGAAGGAGAAAAGGAAAGATATATTCATCTTAACGGAGAGCTTCAAAGAACAGCAAGAAAAGATAAGAAAGCCTTCCTAAGTGAACAATACAAAGAAATAGAAGAAAATAACAGAACAGGAAAGACTAGAGATCTCTTGGAGAAAATTAGAGATACCAAAGGAACATTTTAGGCACAAATAAAGGACAGAAATGGTATGGACCTGACAGAAGCAGAGGAGATTAAGAAAAGGTGGCAAGAAAACACAGAAGAACTATGCAAAAAAGATCTTAATGACCCAGATAACCATGATGGTGTGATTACTCACCTAGAGCCAGACATCCTGGAGTGCGAAATCAAGTGGGCCTTAGGAAGTATCACTACAAACAAAGCTAGTGGAGGTGATCAAATTCCAGCTGAGGCACTTCAAATCCTAAAAGATGATGGTGTTAAAGTGCTGCACTGAATATGCCAGCAAATCTGGAAAACTCAGCAGTGGCCAAAGAACTGGAAAAGGTCAGTTCTCATTCCAATCCCAAAGAAGGGCAAAGCCAAAGAATGTTCAAACTACTGCACAACTGCACTCATTTCACAAGCTAGCAAGGTAATGGTCAAAATCCTTCAAGCTAGGCTTCAACAGGATGTGAACTGAGAACTTCCAGATGTACAAGCTGGATTTAGAAAATGCAAAGGAATCAGAGACCAAACTGCCAACATCAACTGAAACATAGAAAAAGCGAGAATTCCAGAAAAACATCTACTTCTGCTTCATTGACTATGCTAAAGCCTTTGACTGTGTGGATTATAACAAACTGTGGAAAATTCTTAAAGAGATGGGAGTACCAGACCACCTTACTTGCCTCCTGAGAAACCTATATGCATGGCAAGAAGCAACAGTTAGAACTGGACATGGAACAGACTGGTTCCAAATTGGGAAAGGAGTACATCAAGGCTGTATATCATCACCCTTCTTATCTAACATATGCAGTACGTCATGTGAAACGCCGGGATGGATGATGCACAAACTGCAACCAACATTGCTAGGGGAAATATCAATAACCTCAGCTATGCAGATGACACGACTCTTAGGGCAGAAAGCGAAGAGGAACTAAAGAGCCTCTTGATGAAAGTAGAAGAGGAGACTGAAATCCTGGCTTAAAACTCAACATTCAAAAGACTAACATCATGGCATCTGGTCTCATTACTTCAAGGCAAATAGATGGGAAACAACAGAAACTGGGCCAGACTTGATTTTCTTGGGCTACAAAATCACTGTGGACGATAACTTCAGCCATTAATTTAAAAAATGCCTGATCCTTGGAAGAAAAACTATGACAAACCTAGAAAGCATATTTATCATCTGGTGACCAAAAGCAACCCAAAGAAACAGAAATGCAAGAAGGCAAAATGGTTGTCTGAAGAGGCCTTACAAATAGCTGAGAAAAGAAAAAAAGAGAAAGGCAAAGGAGAAAGTGAAAGATATACTCCAGTGAATGCAGATTTCCAGAGAATAATGAGAGATAAAAAGAAGTAGAGAGAAACAATAGAGTGGGAAAGACTAGAGATCTCTTCAAGAAACCTGGAGATATCAAAGGAACATTTCAGGCAAGTATGGGCATGAAAAAGGACAGAAATGATGAAGACCTAATGCAAGCAGAAGAGATCAAGAAGAGGTGGCAAGAATACACAGAAGAACAATATGAAAAAGGCCTTCATGACCAAGGTAACCATGATGCTGTGGTCACTCAACTAGGGCCAGACATGCTGGAGTGTGAAGTCAAGTGGGCCTTATGAAGCATTACTGCAAACAAAGCTAGTGGAGGTGATGGAATTCCAGTTGAGCTATTTCAAATTCTAAAAGATGATGGTGTTAAAGTGCTGCACTGAATATGCCAGCAAATTTGGAAAACTCAGCAGTGGCCAAAGAACTGGAAAAGGTCAGTTCTCATTCCAATCCCAAAGAAGGGTAACACCAAACAACGTTCAAACTACCACACAATTATACTCATTTCACATGCTAGTAAGAATATGTTCAAAATCCTTCAAGTTAGGCCTCAACACTATGTGAACTGAGAATTTCCAGATGTACAAGCTGGGTTTAGAAAAGGGAAGGGAAGTAGAGGTCAAATTGCTAACATTTGTTGGATCATGGAGAAAGGAAGGCAATTTCAGAAAAACATGTACTTCTGTGGATGTTTGTTTGTTTCCACAATAAACTGTGGAAAATTCTTAAAGAGATGAGAATACCAGACCACCTTACCTGTCTCCTGAGAAACCTGTATGGGGGTCAAGAAACAACAGTTAGAACCGGACATGGAAAAATGGACTGGTTTAAAATTAGGAAAGGAGTATGTTAAGGCTGTATATTGTCAACCTGCTTATTTAACTTATATGCAGAGTATACCATGCGAAAGCCTTGCTGGATGAATCACAAGTTGCAATCAGGACTTCTGGGAGAAAATATCAACAACCTCATATAGGCAGATGATACCACTCTAATGGCAGAAAGCAAAGAGGAATTAAAGAGCCTCTTGATGAGGGTGAAAGAAGAGAGTGAAAAAGCTGGCTCAAAACTCAACCTTCAAAAAACTAAGATCATGGAATCTGGTTCCATCACATCATGGCTAACAGAAGGGGGGAAAAAGTGGAAGCACTGACACATTTTACTTTCTTGGGCTCCAAAATCACTGTGAATGGTGACTGCATGAAATTTAAAGGCACCTGCTCCTTGGAAGGAAGGCTATGACAAATCTAGATAGCAAGGCTATGACAAACTTAGACAGCATATTAAAACACAGAGACATCACTTTGCCAACTAAGGTCCGTTTGTCAAAGCTATGGTTTTTCCAGTAGTCATGTAAGGATGTGCGAGTTGGAGTATAAAGAAGGCTGAGTGCTTAAGAATTATGCTTTTGAACTGTGGTGCTGGAGAAGACTCTTGAGAGTCCCTTGGACAAGAAGGAGATCAAACTAGTCAATCCTAAAGGAAATCAACCTTGAATATTCATTGGAAGGACTGATGCTGAAACTCCAATCCTCTAGCCACCTGATAGGAAGAGCTGACTTACTGGAAAAGACCCTGGTGCTGGGAAAAATTAAGGGCAGGAAGAGAATGGGGTAACAGAAAATGATATGGTTAAATGGCACTACAGATTCAATGGACATGAGTTTGAGCAAACTCTGGGAGATAGTGAAAGACAGGGACCTGCTGCAGTTCATGCAGTCGCAAAGAGTCGGACACGACTGAACAACAAAATCTTGCTAACTAAAGAACAGAGTACAGAAAAATACATCCTTAAATAAAAACTGATTAAAAAAATGAGTGATAGTTACATGGATGTCACATTATTATTTATATTTGTCTGTGGCTGAAATATTTCAGAAATAAAAATTTAACAGCAACAGATGGAAACCCTTTTAAAATGAAATTACAAAAACAACAACAAAATGAAATTACTTACAGGCCAAGGTGGTGGGACAGAAGTTACCTCCGGAGTATGAAAATAAGCAACACCATTATGATAAGTGTAAGGATATCCAGTTGAAGTTGTTAGATACATTGTTCCAGCTGCTGGCATTATACTGGAACCTAAAACAAAAAGGAAATAGTAATAATTGAAATGTTCAGTTTACCATTTAAAAGTATAATTTCTGAACACTGAAAAATGTTTATCTTTACACAAATATAGCTATAGTAAAAACTGAGTATTAAAAATTCTTTAAACATTCCGTATGTTAAAGTATCTTTGAAGCATTTATTTTCAAACTTACTACCCTTAGCGCTTTTGTTAGCTTATGGTAAATAAAAAGAAACAAGTTTAATAAGGAGTAACAAAAATTAATCAATTCTGGTTTTAAAGTAGTATAAAGAGAGAACTTTACAATTGAGATTATTATCAGCAAAGTCATTATTTTTACAAATATAAACTACATATAATTTAGAGTTACCTGAAGACTTCTGACACTGCAGCAAAGTCCCTAAGATCTCAGTAAGACCATCTATTTGTAAAAGCCCAAAGAAGATGGAGGCAGTGAAACTGGACAAAATACTTGTTCTACCTTAAAAATTCTTAGGATCTACTATCAACAAGCACTCACTTATGCTATGACTGTATTTTACTCCCTAGTCTCTCTTTGCTGTTGTTGCAAACATGACCACAGACCTTCATGTTGCTAATTTTGGGTCCTCATCTCTTTTCCCAGGTCAAGTTATATATACTCCTCCCCACGAAATAAAAAAAGTCCTTTTTGTCAGGAGAAGACTTTAAAAATTTTATATGCCAAGTCAGATTTAAGTCCTTGACTAACAGGTTACATAAATTAGTGAGGTGGCAATCCTCCTTTCACTATACTAGTGTGTCTCAAAATTTAAAATTCATTATAACAAGCTAGACAGCTTGTTAAAATACAAACTCCAGGTCCCCATTTCAAGAGACTTTTGATTCAAGAGGCCTGGGATGGGGCCTGAGAAACTGTATTTTGATAGAACCCAAGTTAACTATTGGTGATTGCAAACCACACTGACAGCAGCACTAGCCTTCTACTCTAAGTAGCACTACTATTCGGCTTTTATATTTTCACGACATTTCACCTAGTACTGTTATAGCATATTTTGGTGGTTCTTATTTTTTTTCAGAATCTGATGAAAGCCAAAGACCCTTTTCATAAAAATATATATAGTCAAACAAAATTTTGCATGCAATTTGGAAGGTCCATGGAATTCCCTCCAAAGATCACCTTTTAGGTACCACAGGTGTTAAATAAAGAAATTTTGAGTGATTATTATTACAACGCATTGAACTAGGCCTTAGTGATACAACCAAAAAGAAACAAGAAAAAAATTGAGCATGCCATGGTCTCTATCTTCATAGAGGTTAGGTTCTGGTAAGGAAGACAGTCATTAGCTAATTACACAATTAATTATAATTTTGATAAATACAAAAGGCAGTATAGGTAGTACAGGTTATTATATTGGGTAGTACCAAATAGTGGAAAAGGCAATGGCAACCCACTCCAGTACTCTTGCCTGGAAAATCCCAGGGATGGAGGAGCCTGGTAGGCTGCAGTCCACAGGGTCGCGAAGAGTCGGACACGACTGAGCGACTTCACTTTCACTTCTCACTTTCATGCACTGGAGAAGGAAATAGCAACCCACTCCAGTGCTCTTGCCTGGAGAATCCCAGGGATGGTGGAGCCTGGTGGGCTGCCGTCTATGGGGTCGTGCAGAGCCGGACATGACTGAAGCGACTTAGCAGCAGCAGCAGTATAGGGTACAATGCTAAACACTATATATCGTATGTGTCTAGTATTTGTGAGGAAATTGATTTTTGGGCTGAGTTTTAAAGAATGAATGGGATGGCAAAGATCATTGTAGGTGAAGAAAACAGTGTATCAGAAATACGGTTATGTTCTGAAATGAAGGATGGCTAAATGATTAAAGCATGGAAAATATAAGAACAGCTCAAAATAAGCAGAGAATAACATGATAAGATGTGCATGTTTGAAAGATCACTCTGGCTGCCTTGTGTGTGATGGGTGGTAAGGTAGTGATAGCAAAATTGGATTCAGAAAGACCAGTTAGGAGGCTTTTCAAGTAATTACGGCAAGCAGAGTGGGTTTCTGGGACGAGAATGTTGGTAACAGAGATGGAAAATAGGTGACAGATTTGAAAAAAAAAAAAAAGGTAATAATCCCTTGTACATACCTAGTTTCTAAAAATACGACTTTGCCTTTATAAGCTGCATTTTCTATTTACAAAATAGAACTAACAATACCTCACAGGTTGCTGTAAAGATTAAATGAAATAAATAAAAACCCATAATGTTGACCTTAATACTAAACAGTTCTTAAGTAACTATTTGTCTGTTTGAAAGCATTCAGGATAGTGCTGATTTATTTCTGTTTTTAGCAACCTGTGGGTAATAATATGAACACTCCCAGTTGTTTTTACTGATGGTGATAATGGGTTAAGAATTGCTGTTGCATGCTATAGCTTAACTCTTATAACTAACAGGAGTAGTCTGAAAATATTCAGTATTCTGCCATATTTAGTGCATTTCATTTTGCAGTATCAACTTACTAAGGACACATCAGTTATCTTCTAAATTAACAAATACTAAGTCAAAATTAAACTTGATATCTGTTAACTTCTAAGTCAAAGCAGAACAGTCCAAATGAGCATAATCTATTAATTTGTTAACAGATGTATAATAACTATGTAATGTTTTGAATACCCAAGTAGACAGTGAGGACACTAGTTACAAATTATATGCAAAGTTTCTCCTTCTAGCCAAAGACTCTGTTAGAGATTTTAACACTATAGGTTAAAAGGTAACCATAAAGATGTCTAATTTAATAAACGGGAAGAGTGAGAAAAAAAGAGTAAGAGTTGAAAGCATTCTGGAAATTTGAGGAAGGCACTTAGCCAATTCCTAAAGCTTTAGCGGTTGTTCGTTCTGATAATTATGATACATATGGTTTACAGTATATACCATACAAGCAGAGTTTCTAATATTTTACATTTTTACTTTCAGTAATTTTATTCTAATTTTAAATTACTCTATTAATTAGAAAAACTTTAAAATAGTAATTACTTCTAATTTCTTTCATAATTTTAAATTATATTTTAACCATATAATTTTTCCTTTAAAGATGTAACTATTTGGAATATAGTTAAACATTATTATTTATATACATTTTCCCTAGCCGCCTCCATCCCACAAGTTACTGTACTTAATTTGTGGCAAGAAATATTCATTTGACTACCAACTTTGCTAAAATGACTTTATTAAATCAAAGAAACCTGATACTTTAATGAAGTTCTATTAATAGTCTTATATTTTGAAAAAGAACTATGCAAAAATATTGAAAAATATATTAGTTCTCAATACATACGAGGGATCCCTACTTGTTGCTTTCTTATTGCCGGGCCAATGTTCAGTTTCTTATCCTTGTAATTAAGTTTTTCAGCCTAAAATAAGAAACAGTACATTACTTTATTATCACTCCTTGAAAACAGCAAGGCATAGTGGAAAGTGCAAAGCCTTTGGATTAAAATAGATTTGGGTGTGAATCCTGGTTCCAATGTTCTGACCCTAATTCCTCATTTGGCAATTTAATTTGAGTTGTGTTACACATGTGGTCCCAGCTGAGCTAACAGGGAGACATTTTGTTTTCTTTTTTCAGCTTTTATACTGTAAACAAATGTCCTTTTCATGTTCTATTTACTATCATGTTTTTCACATTTTTGTGCCTTATGTTAGTATTTTTGCTACTTAAGATGGCTCTCAAGTGTAGTGTTGAAGTGCTGGCTAGTGTTCCCAAGCACAAAAAGACTTATGTGTTTTAGCAGAGAAAATATGTGTTAGCTAGGTTAATTCACTCATGGGTTATAGTGTTGTTGATCATGAGTTCAATGGTAATGAATCAAAAATGTTACATGTAATCTTTAAACAGAAGCACACATAAAACAAAGTTATATATTGACTGGTTGATGAAAATATTGTAAACAGAAGTTTGTGAGAAACTAACCCTTTATTTTCTAGGTGCAGCATACGTCAATATTTGCTAATTCAGTGTTTGTGATGATTTTATAGAACACATCCACTACAAATAATGAGAGCTGAATGCATATGACTTAATAAAATACAATTAAAATAAAATTTTTTCCTAAAAAATTAAATGTTACACTTGCCAAACTTAAGAGTTATTATATACTGAACTGCAGTATTTAGATTTTTTTCTATGAATGTTCTTAGTTTATATAAAGTTTTTCATTAGGAGGGAAACAATCTCAGATAATCTCATTTTAGGAATCTACATTCATAGTGTTTTTTAGGAATTCAAAGTGCTATTAACACATCAGAAAAGATACATCCCTAAATTCTCAGTTTAAGAAAATAAAGTGAAAAATTATATTACAATTTCACAGCCAAACTTATGCAATTATTTGGCATTTGTTTTTCTGTAGATAAAATTTCTCTTTAATTTTTAATTATTTTTTTGGAGACCAATGTTAATCTCAAGATACAAAGAAAATAAATTTGTTTTTTAGCAATCGATTATTGTACTGGAACCCTACTATTAAATTGATACCTTAAAGCAGGGGCCCCCAACTTCGGGATCTAATGCCTGATGATCTGAGATGGAGCTGATGTAATAATAATAAAGTGCACAGTAAATGCTGACATACTCGAATCATCCCAAAACCACCCTGCCCCAGGTCTGTGGAACAACTGTTGCCACCAAACTAGTCTCTGGTGCCAAAAAGGTTGGGGCCTATTGCCTTAAAGGATTAGTTTCAAAGAAGGAAGCTCCAAAAATGAAGTTAAATACATCAAAGAAAGAATTTCTAAAAATGAAATTAAATACACCAAAATATCTTACCTCTTGCAAAATTTTTTGTGCATCTTCTTGTGTTTCAAAAGTGACAAAGCCATACCTAAATAAATCCATCAATCATTATATTAGAACATTACATTGAAATTATACTAAGATTAAATATATATATTTTTAGAATGGGCCACGGTAGGAGTGAACATTTTTCTATGGTGTACCAGTATGCAAAACTTAGAGAATCGCTCACAGCTTAACACCGTCTTAAAGGGAGAGGCCTAAAAAATAAAAGACAACAAGCCAGGGATCTTTAAACAGTTTCAGACCAGAGCTATATGCAAGGCAGGAAAGCATGAGAGATTTCTACTCTGGTTTACAAATTAGGGTGCAATAAATTTCAGCCCAGAGCAGTAACCTCCTTTTAAAATGATATGTTTGGTTTAAACAGAAATCAAAGTAGAAAAAGAATCTTTAAAAAACTAAAAATTGAACATGATAAAATATTTTATCTTGGTAAATGAGTACACATATTATTTACTATTATCAGCATATATAAACTGAGAATGTAACTATTAGTATATTTCCCAAATAAAATATATTAAAAATATGGTACAACCCAGGTTTTATATCTGCTTTTCATATATAATTGTTATCTTCAGAGTGTAAATCATATGATCAAGATACAAATACACAGTATAAGTGAAGTAAAAGTTGCTCAGCTGTGTCCAACTCTTTGAGACACCCACAGACTTTACAGTCCATTGAATTCTCCAGGCCAGAATATTGGAGTGGGTAGCCATCCCCTTCTCCAGGGGATCTTCCCCACCCAGGAATCAAACCGGGATCTCCTGCACTGCAGGTGGATTCTTTAACAGCTGAATTACACAATATATGCCTTGTCCAAAAAGACAAAATAGGTAGATAAAAAGGGATGAAAGAAATAAAATCATACCTCCCCAAATTTAATCTCTATTTAGATAACTTTAGGAAACTCTCTTGAGTAATGCTCAACTTTATTTTCCTCAAATTGTGTATGTATGTTAAGTTCCTCAGTCGTGTCCGACTCTTTGCAACCCCATGGACTGTAGCCTGCCAGGCTCTTTTGTCCATGGAATTCTCCAGGCAAGATTACTGGAGTGGGTAGCTGTTCCCTTCTCCAGGGGATTGTTTCAACCTAGGGATCGAACCCAGGTCTTATGAATTGCAAGCAGATTCTTTACTGTCTAAACCACCAGGGAAGTGCCAATTCATAATTACTAATAAGTAATTATGTATCATGTAATTAGTAAACATTTACTATTTTCTTCAATTCATAATTACTGTATTGTATATGAATTTCCTTTTTCAACAAAGGAATTTCTTTTTTATTTGCTCAAGTATTAAACAAGGGCTGAAGAAATACTTTTACATTTTTTTTTAGTAGAACACATATACCACCCAGTGGAAAAGGCAAAAAATACAGTCTACACTGCTATGTGTGTTTTTCAATGATTTAAAAATGGATATTACAAATCCCATTAAGCCAAATAAAAGTGGTACAATTTCACTTCATCATTTTATTGTTTGTCAGACTCAGAAGTCTCTTGTTTATATACAGGATTTATTTATATGTTTATATCTGTTCATAATCTCTGCAGGATCTCATCTCTTTTGAAGTGTCCACCTGTCATACTTACATGTAGTTTCCCACTAATATTTTATCCATCTTATTGGTCCCTTCTGTTATGCCTATGAATATGTATATATTGCCTCTTTTTCAAGAAAATAATCATTCATCGATTTCTTTAACTTTGCAGTCAAACTTCTCAAGTGAGAACACTATGTAAAACTACCTTTTTCTTCTCTGATATTTGGCTTTTGTATATACCAATTCACTAAAACAGCTCTAATGTCACCAGACAATACTAGCCAAATCCTAGTGCTTTATTCTTTAATTTTCATTCTCCTTGATTTGGCAATTAAAAATCACTCTAAGATTATATTCCTTAGATTAGTCCCCTGGTTAGGTCTCTAACGCACAACCTACAGACATTCTCTTATGTCAGCCTTTTCCAAATTAAGTTCTCTCTAGTATAAAGCAGATATATAATTCCAAAAGTATCAGATTCCTTTAGCTTCTGGTTCCTTGGCTACTGGACATCAGCTACTTAACATTAAGTGCTTACTACCTAACAATGAATGGTCCCTCAGCCTTTGCAAGAATAACTTTACAACAAATTAAGGAATATTATACTGTCCCCTTTCCTCTAAAATACTCACACCCCACTCCCCCACACATGGAGATCAAAAGGTAGGAGAAAGAAGCCACGAAATTCTCTTTTTAAAAATGGAACCAGGACTTCCCTGGTGGTCCAATGGTAAAGAATCCGCCTGCCAATTCAGGGGACATGGGTTCCATCCCTGATCTGGGAAGATTCCACATGCGGTCAAGCAACTAAGCCCATGCACCACAACTACTGAGGCCTGTGCACCCTAGAGCCCCTGCCTGCTGCAACTAGAAAAAGCCCAGGCACAAAAATGAAGAACCAGTGCAGCAAAAAAAAAAAAAAACCAAAACACAACCAACCCTCCCCACTCCAAACAACAACAAAACACAGCCAAACCCACTACAACCTCCTTCTTTAAAAAAAAAAGGAACCAAAGTAAGGCAGAATACAAAACGTAGCAATCCAATAAAAACACAATGGTTAATTCTGTGTACTACCTATAGTGATACTAACCCTTTGGAAACTCCAGCTCTGTCATTGACAATCTTCACTTCTTTTACAGACCCATACTGGGAAAACAATTTTCTTAAATCATTTTCATTTGTCTAATGGTATAAAAAAAAAACACAAAAAAACCACTTTAATTGATAAAAGATGAAATAACTCTTCTGCTTGTTTTGGAGATAGAAAAGGCAACATAAATAACAATATGGGTATAAAATGCCTGTAATCATAAAAACAGTGCATGAAATCACTAAATTATTAAAATCAATATTAATACTTTGCTTTATGCAGAGTTGTTAATACTATGTTGTTAAATTATTACATGGCAATAAAATATTTTAAGCTGAGTTTTCTAAAACTACAAATAAAGCTTGTTCTCTAGTTAGCTATTTTTTGATAAAACTGTACTGAAATCGAAAGTGAAGTTGCTCAGTCGTGTCTGACTCTATGCAACCCCATGGACAGTAGTCTACCAGGCTCTGCGGTCCATGGGATTTTCCAGGCAAGAATACTGGAGTGGGCTGCCACTTCCTTCTCCAAAACTGTACTAGGCATGCCTGTAACTATACTAAGGGCATATTATTATTGGTTCTTGTGATTCAGAGAGGCCTACAGTCACGGCAGTGGAACCAGGTTATGCTGACCTCCACCAGTCACTCTATTTTAATTTTAAAATTTATTATTAATTGAAGGATAATTGCTTTAAAGAATTTTGCTGTTTTCTGTCAAACAATCACTCTATTTTAATTAGCATAGTCATCAGGAAAGTTAAGGTCTTAGAAAGGAAATATATTTACAAAAGTACCTGAATTCAATCTGTGGTAACAACAGAGAGGCTACAAAACTTAAAGTTTTTAGACTTTTTATCTGCAATATACATATGAACATTATGATGATACACAAAAAATACTGAGTCATAACTAGACTATCATGCATAAGATGTCTACAAAGATGGTTTGGCATATCTGGTAATTAAAATAATCTCATAATAGACCCACATCACCTTTCCCTAGAGCATTCACTCTAAATTCACTGCAGTTTCATTTTCTGGTTCAACTGTGTTTGCACCCAAGAAAAACTTTAAATATTCATAGAAAAAATTTTTCTTTACATATATAAGAAAAGACATGCCTAATGGTAGAGAAATACCTCTTGAGTTCCACAGATACCTCACTACTTAAGTAAAAAACTAAATTTTTACTTGGTAACCTAAGGCTTGCTAAATTGGATGATGGCAAATACTGAGTTAATCTAGGTTTAAGAGTCTCATTTCAATAAACACAAAATGGAATCAACATCAAAGATTTCTATTAGAGACTTGAAAACAAATTAATTCAAACCATTCTCTGACAGAAGAATCACTAGCTCAACTTTGCATCTCCATTTCTGTTAAAAAGGAGACAGAAAGTCAAGATAATCAAATATTAAAAGGGATGGGTTCTAGGGGTCTAAAAAGAATTTTATGAAGTTTGAGACTGCTTGCTACTGTGTTAAACTACTTCCTTGCTGGAAATTACCTATGGTTTTGGGTAAGATGTAACCGTAAGAGGGAGAACCTTACCAGTGAACTTAAAGCTAAGACTGTATTGTAACAGTGGCCCCAGAGTTTATACTGTGGCTGACTGGCTTCAATAAAAACCGGCACTAAACTAAGGTGAGCCACTGTATCGTACAGGGAACCCTACTCAGCGCTGTGGTGACCTGAGTGAGAAAGGAACCTAACAGAGGGGATATGTGTGTACCTATAGCTGGGTCACTGTGCTGTATCAGAGAAACTAAAACAGCATTGGAAAGCAGCTATACGCCAAAAAAGATAAAAACCCTCCACTTAACCTAGCCATACAAATTACTACACTTATTGATGATGTATTTAAAGATATACTAAGCTAATATAATATAAACTCTGAATAAGAATATTTAACTTGAATATTTATGGTCATTTATTAATATTTTCCACAGAAACAGGAAATCTTTTTAAAAGTAAGCACTTCATAAGAAATTATTTTCCTTAATTTATTATTAGTGACCCAATCACACACTTGCTTAAGACTCATAATTTTGATAAACACATTGTGACATTCATCTTGAGCAGGAAAGAAGCAATTCCATCCAAATTGTAAGACACTGATTGTTGGAAAACAGTGAGTGAAAAATACTATACCCTAATTCCACAAGGATTTTCTTTTTAAGACAACTCTCCCTAAAATTTCCAGTATGTAATATGGAAGCCTGGAAATCCTTCTATATATTCCCTTGGAAGAAAGAATGTTCCACCTAAATTATCGATGCCTGCTTTTCCTGTAGATGTTTACAACTGCCTCCCACATGGGGGGGTGGGGGGTGGGCTGCAAAACATCTCACAAAACTATGCCTCTCTGAAAGAGTGAAATGGCTGATTACATTATTTAAACATATTACTGTTAAGATGCTTTATTTTGACTAGGACACAGGCCTTTTTTGGTAATCAAATTGTAAATTCGGTTACAAGCAATTGGCAAAATAAAAGTCTGAGAAGTTACTCAGGAACTGAAGATAAAAGTTGGGATAAAGAAACAGGACTTCAGAAAACTGTTGTGCTTTTTCTTTTTCCTTAATTGAGTCAACTTTTGAAGATTTTAATCACTCATTGTTTGGGCTATTGGATTACTATGTAAAAAAAGTATAATTAGTGTGATATGGTGAAACAAAGAACGTGGAGCTATCAGTCAGAAAACTAGGATTCCAAAAAAAAAAAAAGAAAACTAGGATTCTAGTTTTCACTCTGTCTCTAAGTAGTTAAGAGACTATAGATATGTCAATGAGCCTCAATTTCCTTGTATGTGAAATTAGACAATTATATATACTCTACTATAAGACAATTTGAACCCTATTAATCATTATGAAAATATTAAATACATTGTTTTTACAGTTGCACAAATAAACCATTTCTGAGAAATATAATACTTGTAATACAAAAAATAATTCACTATATTGCATGCATTATTAGGTACCTTAAAGTCAATTCCTCCTACAAAGATGCGATTAGGGATCACTGTTCCATATCTTGGGGCACTCGTTGGGTTATTCAAAGGCACAGGTGACACAGGATTAGGGGATGGAGATAATGAATCTGTTTGCGTCTGATTTGATGTTTGCTGTAAAATAAAATTCTTTTAAACTCTTGGTACTGGGTATAAGTTTTAACACAAGATAAAAGCATTTATCCTTCAAAAAGGTAAGTCACTGACAAAATGTAGTATTTTAGACTTTAATTTTATGCTACTATGAAGATTATAAAGCTAATAACTTTTGAAGGCAAGAAAAATACAAGAAATACAGAATCTACTTCTCTACAGAGATCTTAAATCTTAAATGTATCATATAAACATACCTATATTACTATTAAATGTACAATTTAAATATTTTAAGTATTAAGAAGGAATATTAAACTCAAAAAGAAGTTTAGGAAAGAGAAAAGTAGCCCTGGACAGTTAGGAGCTGGCCTGGTACAACAACTAGGCCCTGGTGTTGTAAGAGGTGTCTGGGACCTCACAGGTAGTCTGTGGTGTTCTCTTGTTAACACCAACATTGAGCAAGGCTACTGTTATTGTGATGAAAGAAAGTGAAAGTCGCTCAGTCCTGTCTGACTCTCTCCGACCCCATGGACTGTAGTCCATGGAATTCTCTAGGCCAGAATACTGGAGTGAGTAGCCCTTCCCTTCTCCAGGGGATCTTCCCTACCCAGGAATGGAACCGGGGTCTCCAGCATTGCAGGCGGATTCTATACCAACTGAGCTATCAGGAAGCGCTGTTGTGATGGGTGAAGATAAAAACAAGACCACTCCATAACCATATATGCACATTGACAAAAACAAAAGCATTTCCCAAACCACAAGAATGACCAAACATCCTTTTATCCTGCCTGAAAAGACTGACTGCTCCTTGTTTATCAATCACAGAACTTAGCTTCAATCTCTTTCTTGTCTCCTAAATAAGAACTAAGGTAGTACTAGTGGTAAAGAACCTGCCTGGCAATGCAGGAGACTGGAGACGCCAGTTCAACCCCTGGGTGGGAAAGATCCCCTGGAGAAGGAAATGGCAACCCGTTCCAGTATTCTTGCCAGGAGAAACCAATGGACAGAGAAGCCTGGGAGGCTACAGTCCAAAGGGTTGCAAAGAGCCGGACATGACTGAGGCGATGTAGCACTTAGCACAATCATAGAATTACTCCCACTTTCTGACAACATGCATTTCAGAGTAAAACCTTCTTTAAACCCACTCTAAAAAAGTGCTAATACAAGCCTAAATCCTATAATAAGTTCTAACATCCTCTAGTTGAGAGGCCCCATGTTCTTCCTTGTAATTCAGAAGAGCCAAGTTTATTAAACTATAGGTGTATTTGTGGTGGTCTTTGGCTAAAGGGCATTGACAAGTAAATACATTCTGACATTTAAGTTCACTGCTTTTCAACTCTAAAGTCAAATTTTTAAATGCACTTGGCAACTTGAAAAGTGGGCTGATTTTGCAAAAATAAAATTTATACCTTATATGTATAAAAGTTTATAGGTACAGGTATAAGTTTTTATTCTAAAGTTTTTAATATTAATTTTTACTTCATGCTAAAGAACTGAGCTCATATTCATATATTCACAATTCTAAGTCAGTGGCTCTAATTCAGATTTTAATAAATATATATTAACAAATAATGGAGAAGAAAATGGTAACCCATGCCAGTATTCTTGCCTGGAAAATACCATGGACAGGGGAGCTTAGTGGTCCACAGTCCATGAGGTCGCAAACAGCGGGACATGACTTAGCGACTATAAAAACAGTAACAACTAACATATAAGCCTCTGCACAATAGCAAGACAGTAGATAGACTCTTAAGGTACTCTGGGAAAAAACAAGACTTGGGAATAGAATTTTTAAAGAGAAACAAATGTAAGAACGTGCTATTTTCCTTGTAAGAACACTAAAGAGACTTCTGAGACACTAAAAAAGTGCTTAAAAAAGCTTGAAGTTCACGACTTAAGTTCTCTGATAAACAAACTCATGAAAATGAATTTCCCACTTAGATAACAGAGTTGTTCTTTTTCACACTGCTCTGCTTTCACTTCATTGGCCAATAAACCATAATCCCTAAAAATTAATCTCTGTAAGATGTATAGAGAAACATCTAGGCCAGTGGTGACTACGGGGCTGTAGGCTGGAACTTATCGGGTCTATTCTCCATCCAGTCTTAAAAGGGAAGAACGCTTCATAGTAAGGGAGTTCATAAAAACATCTCTTAAACCACAAAGTCATCATATTTAATAATTACTATGTTGTAGCTGCCAGTTAAAGGAACTGGGAACCCAATCTTAACAGCACCCTCTCAGGGCATTTGATAGTTAATTTATAATTTCTTTATTCAACAAATGAACTCTTTTGCTTTCAAATTTATTTAAATAAAACTCCACTGGTTTTTATTTTTATGAGAGAAAAATGACATGAATGGAGGAGAACAAAGTGCTTTATTTCCAATCTTAAGAAATCCTCAACACGGAGGAAGGAAAAACACGAACTTTGTACATTCCATTCACATCATTCTTCAATTTTTAAGGTTCCTATTCTATTGTGGGTTCCAACTGTTTTTTCTCCTTACCACTAATCACTTTCCAACACACTATGTAATTTATATTACGTTTGTCATCTCTTTCCACTATATTGTAATGTTCAAGAAAAGGGCTTTGCCTGTTTTGTTCACCGCAGTATCTAAGACCATATATAGCAGGTGTTCAATAAACATTTGTTGAATAAAGAATAAATAATTTCTCCCTGCTCACGATACACCAACCCTTAGGTTGTGGGCTGAAGAATACATGAATAAAACCCTAGAAAATATTTTAATCTTGGCAGTAACAAGGCTCAGGTAGAGGCAATCTTTTAAGTTCCTTAGAGACAGTTAGTGATTGAGTTAATTCAGAATGCCTCAAATTCCGCCGGCAATAATTTTGCAAATGTATGAAAAGCAGGTTTGGGGCAAGCAGTTAAGGGTCCTATGGTTAGTACAACTTCTAGTACTAAAAAGTTTATTTAAAATTTCCTTCAAAGCAATGTGCCCCACTGCCTCCTCCCCTTGAGAATTAACCTCGAAATTTATCATCTACTCTGCCAGTGAAGAGAAGAGGAAAAAGACGGGCTAACCGTCGCAGTCAAGGACTCGGTGCTCCTTCCCCTCCGAGGCCAGCAAACTGAGGCGCTGGAGGAAATGGCCGCAGCAACTTCCTCAGGTTCTCTCAAGTCATCGTGAACTGGAGCACCGATTCGAGGATCCACCCCCTCCCCACCAAAGTGCGGGAGGGAAAAGAAGGCTAGCCAGCGAGAAATTTTGTCCCGCAAGCCCGCCAGAAGCAGTGGCGGGAATCCTCAACGGCACAGACCCAGACGCCGGCCTCGTGCGTAGCAGGGGCCCGCGGGCATTGCGTGGCACTCGCTGATTGGCTGCCGGCGGGCACGGGGTGGGGCGCGACGGCTCGTTGCCGCAGCCCCTCGGGCCTACTCGGTCTCCCACCCCTCCCCCACCCAGACTGGCCTGGGCGCGAGGGCCCAGGTCCGACCTGTGCCCAGGTGCCCCTTATAACCCACACTCGTCCCCCACCCCCACCCCCGCCAGGTCTCTTAGCACTTCTGGTTTCCGGTGACCAGTCGGGAAGAGGAGGAGATGGCCGCCTGGCCAACACCTCATGTGGGCGGCTAGGCTGAGAATGGCTGGAGTGAGCGTCAAAGACGCAGCCGAACCTACTTTCGGCGGGAAAGCTGGTTCTCTGGCCTGGACCCAGCCTGGTGCACAGGACCCGGTCACCCACGCTTCCCGGAACCTCCCCGCGGGTCTACACCAGTCCAGGCCCGGCGTCGCACCTGCCCGACCCCACTACACAGCCCTACGGGGCCTGCAGGCAGGCCGCTCTTCATGGCGGTCGATGGGGCGCCCTGTCCACGGTTCTTGCTGACAAAAGAGGAGCTCTAGACTCGTCCTTCCAGCCCCTCACAGACGGAGTCCACGTTGCTCCTTCTCCCCGCTATCCCGGGGGCCCAGGACTCTGGGCCCTGACCGCCGTACTCACCGCCCCGAACTCGGTCTCCATCGTCCTCTCTGCTCTTCAAAAGCCAGGGGGAAAGGCAGAGAAACCTACAGTTCGAAAGCACCTTCGCACCCAGGAAGCAACACCACGCTTCCTGACGTAGACTTTCTCCCCCTGGCGGCGACGGCGGCGGTGGCAGCTGCAAAGGCGCAAACTCGAACCCGGGGCCTGAACCTGCCACCCGCGGGGATAGGGAGGGGCAGACGACGTAGCCTCGGGCGGCTGGTGGCGGTGCGGGCGGGCGCCGCAAGCCCGGGAGGGGCGCGGGCGGGCAGGTTTCGGCGGTGGCCTGTGGTCGCCGAGCTGGGCCGTCTCAGGGGCAGAGCGTGCCGCAGGTCGGGGCGGGCGTGAGGTGTGAGGATCGAGGGCTCTGTTCTGAAGCCACTCTCGTCTGCTTTCGGACGGCTAGGGAAGAGACAGCGAGCGGCTATGCAGAGCTCCATGCACCACACGCCTTTCCCTCTCCTCCTCTTTGGAGAAAAGTTGGCTTCTAGGACTGGTGGGTTTTCGAGAGGTGGCGGTGCGTTTAGAGGCTTTACTAAGGTGCAAGAAGCCGGTTGACGGGCGACTTCGTAAGGCTGGTGCGGGGAGAGGAGACCAGTTTGCAGAGTTAAAGCCTGACCCCCGGGTCCTGACGCGCCAAACTCGGGGGCTCGGGAGAAGCCGCAGACGCCTCGGCGCACCTGTTGTCGCCGTCACTCATCCCCGGCGAGCGGGCGGGGCGGCGCGGGCTGCTTGGCCGGGAACCGCCGCGCCGCCCCGTCCGAGCTCCGGCGTCCGCCTTAGGCCCGCGTCCGCTGAGCACAGCCGGTCCGCCGCACAGCCGGCCTGCGATGGAGCTACCTGCGCGCTCCAGGGGTGAGGACTGTGCCTCTTGGCTGGAGCGGCTCTATCTCCTTTGAAAGAAGCCTGCTTTGTAAAAAGTCTTTCTGAAAAGTAGCTGCGATTTATGTATGCATCAATACATATATCATCAACTTCACATACTTTACTTATGTATATAAATATATATAACCAGTTTTAAACAGTCACAACTCGGTAAACTTATGTAATGATTATGGCGATTATGGCACTATGATTATCATTAAGCAATTTGGTCAAGATCTAAAGCGATAGATTTAAGTCTCTGATCGCAGGTCATGATTTAACCACATTGCCATATTTTAAAGAACTAGCAAAAACTGTTAAAAATTACATCAGTAATGATTTTTGTACTATTATAAAAGTTTGACTTCAGTTTACTTTCAAGATAAAGTGTTAAGATTATTATATATTTAAGTTTTAATCTTTGGTGCAGAAGCAGAGCATGGCAACCCACTCCAGTACTCTTGCCTGGAGAATCCTCATGGACAGAGGAGCCTGGTTGGCTACAGTCCATGGGGTCTCAAAGAGTGGAACACGACTGAAGCGACTTAGCGCTCACTTTGATGCCAGGCCCAGTGCTTTACAATCAGTATCATTTAATCATTTCATTCTCCAGCAGCCCTTCAGGTAGATATACCTGTTATTTTCGTGTGTGTGTGTGTGTGTGTGTGTGAAATCACTCAGTCCTGTCTGACTCTCTGTGACCCTATGGACTGTAGCTTGCTAGGCTCCTCAGTCCATGAGATTCTCCAGGCAAGAATACTGGAATGGATTGCCATGTCCTCCTCTATCTTCATACTGCTGGAAAGCAAATGGAGATTTGGAGGTTAAGCAATTAGGTCAAGATCTGAAACCATGGATTTAACCAGGGGTGTCTCTGATAGCAGGTCATGATTTAACCATATTGACATACTTTATTTATTTTTTAAATTTTTTTGGACATACTTTAAAGAACTGGCAAAAATGTTAAAAATTAAATCAGTAATGGCTTTTGTATTGTAGATGTATGAAAGTTTGACTTTTGTTTTATTTACTACAAGGTAAAGTGTTACATTTATTATGCATTTAAGTTTTAATCTGTTCAGATGTTTAGCTCTTCATATTATTTACCACAAATAACATGGGAAACATAATTTTCTTTCATTGACTACAGTTCAGCTACAGCATCCTGAAAGTCATTATATGTTTGTGCATACAATTTAAGCTCATTTTCACAGGTTTTAGTTTCTGTAGAAACAGAGATTGTAAACCTATTAAAAAGTAAAACTCATTCCAGAGCAGAATAATTTTGCTGTTCAATACTATTAGAACTGATCTTTGGGCATTTTTTCCCTGTAGTAATGATGGATTTAAGTAGATATTACTGCCATCTCTTTTGCCCAAGTCTCTTTTGACTAACAACACATTTTTGAAGACTGTATTCACTGTAATAGGTGTTCAGTCTGTGACATACATTAGGGAACACTGTATTTCAATACTCATGTCAAGTTCTAGGAGAATATACTGAATTTGCAGTATAGTAATTCTTTGTTCTGCTTCTAAGTCGTTTAGTCCTTTTATATTTTGTCCCACCTCCTTTCGAAGACAATGGGCTGCTTTTCTGGGTGCCTGATGTCCTCTGCTAGCGATCAGAAGTTGTTTTGTGCAGTTTGCTCAGGGTTCAAATGTTCTTTCCATGAATTTGTAGGGGAGAAAGTGGTTTCCTCCTCCTATTCCTCGGCCATCTTAGCTCCTCCCCCTCGTTTAGTCCTTAGAGCAAAAAGAATATTTTAAAACTTGAGTGAAACATATACAATTATATAGGTCAACTTAGTACATGTTTCTAGAGTTCCTGTATGTTCAGGAACATAAATGACTTAGAAGCAGATCAAGATCAAACCTCTGTCCTTGACGTACTTTCAATCTAGAAAGAGAGAAATTACTAATTACTATAGTTGCAAAATCATTATATCTAAACACAGTTATAACAAATAGGATGCACACAGAATAGGATAAGTGGTACACGAATTATTGTCCGAGGCCTGTGGAAACAGAGCAGAGTGTCCGGAACTGGGAAGGGGCATGGACAAACCTGAGAGGATGGTCCGTGGGGAGGTGGAAAAAGCCCTGTAATGTATGCAGCACCAGGCAGGGCACATTATTGTTAAATCTTCTTTGTTATCATTCTTCATCTGGCAGTCTGATCCTTAGAGAGTTTATCAAAGTGACTCGTTTAATTACATTGCTAGCAAGTGGTGGATGTGGTTTCAATTTGACCCCATTACCCATGCACAGTGCACTCTGCCATGTTATTTATACCATGGTATCAAGGACTTGGGCTTCCCAGGTAGCTTAGTGGTAAAGAATCTGCCTGCCAAGCAGGAGACTTGGGTTCAATTCCTGGCTCAGAAGATCCCCCAGAGCAGGAAATGGCAATCCACCTTAGTGTTCATGCCTGTAAAATCCCAAGGACAGAGGAGCCTGGTGGGCTATATAATCCTGGGGTCACAAAAGAGTCAGATATGACTTAAGTGACTAAACAATAATATTGGAGGATAACTGCTTTATACTATTGTGTTGCTTTCTGCCATCCATCAACATGAATCAGCCATAGATACACATGTGTCTCCTCCTTCTTGAACCTCCCTCCCATCTCCCGCCCTATCCCACCCCTCTAGATTTTCACAGAGCACTTGGTTGAGCTCCCTGTGTCACAGAGCAAATTCCCACTGGCTATCTCTTTAACATACGGTGATGTAAATGCTTCAATGCTACTTTCTTGGTTGGTCCCAGCCTTTCCTTCTCCCACTGTATCGGCAAGTCTGTTTCCTATGTCTGCGTCTCCACTGCTGCTCTGCAAATAGGTTCAGCAGTACCATCTTTCTAGATCCCATACATATGACTACAATATTTATCTTTCTCTTTCTGACTTACTTCACTCTGTGTAATAGGCTCTAGGGTCATCTACCTCATTAGAACTGAGTGAAATGTGTTCCTTCTTATGGCTGAGTAATATTCCTTTGTGTGCATATACCACTATTTCTTTATCCATTCATCTTTCTCTGGACATCTAGATTGCTACCATGTGCTAGCTATTGTAAATAGTGCTGTGATGAACACTGGGATACATTTATCTTTTTCAATTATGATTTCCTTAGGGTAAATGCCCAGTAGTGGGATTGTTGGTCATATGGTCGTTTTAGTCCTAGTTTTTAAAGAAATCTCCATACTATTCTCCATAGTGGGCTGTATCCAATTTACATTCCCACCAACAGTGCAAGAGGGTTCCTTTTTCTCCACACCCTTTCCAATATTTGTTGTTGTTTTGTTGTTTAGTCGCTTAGTCATGTATGACTCTTTGCAATTCTATGGACTACAGGACACCAGCCTTCCTGTCCTTCACCACCCCCAGAGCTTGCTCAAACTCATGTCCATTGAGTTGATGATGCGATCCAACCATCTCGTCCTCTGTCGTCCACTTCTCCTCCTGTCTTCAATCTTTCCCAGCATGAGGGTGTTTTCCAGTGAGTTGGCTCTTTGCATCAGGTGGCCAAAGTATTAGAGCTTCAGCTTCAGCATCAGTCTTTTCAGTGAATATTCAGAGTTGATTTTCTTTAGGATTGACTGGTTTGGTCTCCTTTCAGTCCAAGGGACTCTCAAGAATCTTCTCAAATGCCACAGTCCTCCAATATTTAATTGGAAGATAATTGCTTTACAATATTGTCCCTTTATTTTACCCCTAACCTGCTCTCACTTCCTGACCAGTAACTTTGCTGGTTTTTATCCTCTTTCCATTTTTATATTATTCTTGGATTTGAACTGCAGGGCAGGAGAAAGTTTTTCTTGACCTTCTTTAGGGTCTTTGGCTGGATCTGAAAATTAAACTGACAAAGACAGGTTAACAGGAGAAAAACATACACATTTTATTGAATTTTCACATGTACATAGGAAACTTCAGAAGAGAATGAAGACTCTAGGAAGTAATGAGAACAGGAAGCTTTCATACCTTTTAGACAAGCAATAAATTTGTGAGGAATTGACAAGATAAAAGGGTTTGGGCTAGGGAGAGTAAATGGTGAAGAAGTAACTAGGAAGATTAAGGTTAGTTTAATAAGATTTGTTTGCAGATTCTTCTGGGCTGATAGGAGGTTTATTTTTTTTCTTTAGGGTTTTTCTACATTTACTGGTTCTTAATTGCTTCCAAATAAAAATTGTATGTCAAAGAGACACATTTTGGGGTGACATGTTCTGGTTTCCTTCAAATGCATGAAATATTTTCACAACTACAATAGTGACACCTCTTAATTCATTTTTCTTACATCCTAAGCATCTTGGCAATAGGTCATGTCATGTCCCTATCGTCCTTCTCTCCTTGACATTTCAAACGTCTCTGTATTACATTGTTGAATTGTCACTGTTCTACTCTCCTTCAGCAACTACATTGTATTTGAGTAGCAGGCAGTTGTTGCCTTGGCGCATACCTGAGGCCGACCACCACACACTGCTGTGTAGATTCTTCAGTGCGTAAGAGTTCTGGCCAGAAATGTGAAGAGGCTTGAAATGCAGCCCTTGCTGCTCCAATCACATCACCAGTTAGGCTTAGTGCCCCATCCATTCTTTGCGAGAGCTTTTTCCTAATTCAGAAAAAGATGCTGAGTGGGCCAGTTGCAGCCATACCTAAACAGAGCTCCTGCATTGTAAGACAGTATCAGGAACGCTGGTTTATGTTCATTATG